GACTTGCCCAGGAACAAAGTTTCTTGGGAGCAAATCTGGTTGTATTCTTTGTTTAGTTTTGTTTATTCTTGCTGAAAGAACTTATTCTTTCAGTTTATTGTTGCTAAAAGAAAATTTTTTTTTCTTTCTAACTATGAAATCACATAGTACAGTTTTTAATTGTGAAAACCCAAGGACGTTCATAGTCCTCACCACACAGAGTTCAGCAGGGCCAAATGTATTTTGAATGTGAAGTGTGTTAGAACAGTGCTTGGCATACACATAGAAGCCCACATGCACACATACGGATATTGCCATTATTGTTATGTAGCGTGACACTTGTAGAGATGAGTCTATTGGGAATCATTTTTACAAGGGTGTTTCTGCACTTTACAATGTGAGTCAATCCACTATTGCCATCCATATACTCAGTAACGGCACAAAATGAATGTGCTTTCCATTTGCGCCTCATTTTTGTGCCGTTTTAACTGATTTTGTTTCTTTTCGGAATATTCCGTTTTCTCAGTATACCCTGAGGAAATGGAAATGAGAGAATCCTGGTGTCTCATTTCAGTACAAATGTTTGTACACTGTAGCTAAAGTCCGAGTGACATTAGAATCCGTCCCATGGAAGTGTGACAAGGAAGCAATTCTTCTGATGTAAAATATGAAAAATTCAGTTTTAAGAGTTAGACAAGTGACTCTCCCAAGCTGGCACGTAGCTTCATTCCCTTTAAAGGAGTCAGTCAAGGTGAGCACCTTCATTTACATGGACAGACATGTACATTGTATTTATCATCACAATTCATTTGTGTCTAGATAGATATGTGTCATCAGCTAAAGACTACTAAACTCCAGCACTGGTCCATTTTTTTTTTTTTTTTGATCCACATCTCAGATGCTGGACACTGGGCAGAATATTCTATCTACTACTAGCTCAGTCCTTTGAAATTGTATGTTTGTATATACGGGTTCTTGTTTGTGGGTACCCAAGTTGTGTATCAGGTGAATGCCTAAGTTTGCATGTATGGGGAGGCTACAGGACAGTCTCAGGTGTCATTCCTCATGAGCTGGCCACATTGGTTTTGGAGATAGGGTCTTTCACTCTCATCCGGATCTGAGTAATGCAGCCTGGCCAGTGAGCTCCAGAGATCTGCCTTCCCTCTGCTTTCCCAGTCTTGAGCTCACATACCTATGCTACCATATCTAGTTTTTTCTTTTATGTCAGTTATGTGGGTTGAACTAGGGTCCTCATGTTTGCACAGCAAGTAAATTATCAACTGAGCTCTCACCCCAACTCAATCTTAATAATTTAAAATGTCAAATATCTATCTGACTAGATATTATTACCCTGCTGTATCATGTTCTAAATGTATGGTTGTTTCAGGAGACTATAGAAAATGTTCAAGAGACAGTTTTTTTCTCTTTCAGAGAGTTTGTAGGTCAGAGGGGAGACAGACAGATAATCCTGATTATGAAGAATACAAAATGGGTATAAAAGTGGGCATAGGAGGAGGGACACAGTGAATTCTGACTGAAAAAAAAACTACTGAAGTCATCACAGAGTTTGGGCCCTTCAGTTACATCATGTATTATTCCACAGAATAAGCAAGAGAATCAGCTAACCCCAAGGCCAGCAGGTAAGGGAACTAACGTTCTAGTTTGCATGATGGTGAAGGACTCAGAAGGGTGGTTTTCTAAGGCATGTGTGGAGGTGTTGAACTCAGATCTGCTTCTGAAGAGCAGAGAGTGACTTATTGAGAAGCTACAGCAAGGGGAATCATCTCATCTTGTTTTGTGTCTCCTTATTTTAGTTAGAGAAAAATGAAAGCGTCCATGTTTCAGGCCATGGGAACACATCCAGATCTCTCATTCATTCACCACCCACAGCCAAATACATGAGAGGAAATGACATCTCTCCACAGCCAGAGGCCACTCACTTAGGAGAGGAGGAGGGCCCTGGCAGAAAGAAATGGATTTGAGAGCCACTTGATGCACCTCTGGGCTGCAGATAAGGCACAGCTTTCCACCACAGATGTGCAGCCTCAAGCCTTTCCTCAACTTCCCATTTTTTTTAATTTTACAGAGGGTACTCAGGGTTGGGCTAAGGGGCAACTTGATCCATGAACATTCTTCTGGAAACTCGTCTGGGAGGTTTCTTGGTGAAGATGACACACACTTCTTGGAATGAACTGGAAACAAAAGGTTAGAATTTGAGACTGTGCTGAGACGTGTCTGGAGAGGTTTGGGGTGAGTGGTATGTGCCAAGGCAACACGCAGAGCATAGATGAAATTTATGGTCTCGTGTGTCTCTTTCAATATTGCTTAGGAATTTAGTGAGCATGGCCTTTGAGTGTTGCCAGGTTCTGTCTACTATTGTCACTTCAATAAAAGAAATTTGATTATAGCTGGACACTGCCCTGGCATATTCCTTTAGCTGTTGAGTCGCTATGTTCTTGTTGGAAGGAAACATTTTTTCTACATCATCCGAAGTCCAAATAGCAGCTGCAGGAGAACGTATAAAATGCCTGGCTTGTGGGAAAGAGAACTGAGAGGGCCCCTGGCACTCTCCACCTCTTTCTGGGCCCTGGTGAGACTCCTTTATGTGGGCTGAATCCAGTACCCTGATTCTAAGCAAAAGCTAGGGTAGAAATTGTGGGCTTTCATTTCCAAGATACCTGAAGTTTCCAAACCCTGTGGTGCCAGTCCTTCTGGAACTATGTACACACTTATCCCTTGAATCTTGTCATTGGCTTGCTCTGTGGGGAGGCCCGGATGGTAAGGAAGTAAAGGCGGCCTCTAGCCAATAGCCAACGTGCAGAGGAGGTCCTCAATCCAAACGCCTTCAAGGAACTGATTCCTGACAGCCACTCTTCCTGGGAGAGAGTGAACTCAAAGCAGACTTCTGTAGTTGTGTATTGATATGCTGCGATTTGATACGCTCCTGTGCCCAAAGACATAGTAGGGCAGACCTGAAGCCCTGGCCTGTTGAAATGGAAATATGAATGGTGTTTCATGCCACTCAGTTTTGGGGTGTTTTGTTACACAGCCACAGGTAATTAATTATATCATTGATTTTAGAAGCAGAATGGCCTTGGATGGGCTGTGACGATGGAAAATGAATCTGTGTATACATTAATGTCTGAGTCACCAAGCTAGAAAACGTCTGTGGGACAGTTGTCCTTCATGCACTACTTGTATTAACTGCAACAATCTGGCAAGGGTGATGTTGATCATATTTTGAAAGACAGTAACAGTACATACATTTCTCTCTCTCTCTCTCTCTCTCTCTCTCTCTCTCACACACACACACACACACACACACACACACGCACGCGGCTGAGAGCATATAGTTAAAACATGGTTGAGGCTGAAAGAGAAATCAAATTTTTATTCTTAAGCTGGGCTCTTTTCTCAATATTAGGGGGTGGCATTAAGGGTGGGGACAGGCTTGGAGAGGCTAGAAAGCAGACTGACTGAAGAACTTTTAGTCACCTAGGTCACTTTCCTTTCTTGAAGATGCTAACAGTTTGAAACGAAACTTAACACAGTGGAACTGAGAAGTCCTTAGGCACCTTTGTGGTGATTAGCTGATTAGCACTGTATTGTGTGGCTTTAGAATCAGGTGTTAGGTTGTTTTAATAAAAAAACAAATCAGAACAACAAAATATCATGAACAATGAATACATGCAACAAAAATGTAAAAACACAGAGAAAGAATACAGATAGTATGTCGTGGTGTTAGGCCTACGACCATGATTTGTCAAAATGGACTTTGCTAGACAAAGACAAGATTGGAATAGTGTAGATATGAGGAGTTGTTGTTATTTGGAGTGGCTGGCAGATTATAGAAAATGGAAGGGATGATGTGTTGATTCACCTTAAGGTGAGGCTGGCCCTGCATATGCCTGTGGTGTCCTGAGCTGAGATAGCATTTGACTCTTAGGAGATACTGAGGTTGTCTGACCAACTCCCAAATGAGACCTATGGTCTATCTCAGGCCATCAGCTCATTAACTCTTGCAATAGCTTTCCCATCTCCATTCTTGGAAGGAGCTGAGCAGGCATCATTGCTCATGGGGCCTCTGCACAACATAGACTGTTAGCATCGTAATACTTTATTCCCACAATATTGAAGAGCATCACAATTAACTCTGCAGTTGGAGGTGATTGAATCCTTTAGAGTTTCCTTGCTACCTCGTGGTTTTCACAGATCTCTTTAGTGCACCCCTCTTTAGAATGGCAGACACTGGCCACACAAGGTATGGTGGCTTGAAGGTGAATGGACCCCATAGACTCATGTGTTTGAATGCTTGGCCCAAAGGGAGTGTCACTATTAGGAGATCTGGTCTTGTTGGAGGAAGTGTGTCACTGTGGGGATGGGCTTTAAGGTCTCAGAAGCTGGAGTCAGTTCACTCCCTGCTGCCTGTGGGTCAAGATGTAGAACTCTAAGCTCCTTCTCCAGTACCGTCTGCCTGTGTGCTGCCATGTTTCCAACCGTGTTGATAATGGACTAAGCCTCTGAAACTATAAGCCAATCCCAGTTAAATGTTTTCCTTTATAACAGTTGCTGTGGTCATGGTGCCTCTTTACAGCAATAGAACCCAAACTAAGACACAAGGCTATGCATCACTTAAACGGTGAGACTGAATAACTTTTTACACTTAATTTAACTCCAATTCATTTAAATGTAAATGCACAGGTCTAGAGGCTATAATTTTATTGCATACTTTAAAAAAATTAATCTGGGCTCATACGGATAGGATATTTTCCAAGTCTCGGGCTCCAAACTAGAATTTTTGTATATATTCATCCAGTTTTCAGAAAACCCATTGAGACCTATTATATCATTCATATTTCATAGACAGAAATTTAGCTACCAAAAATAGCATAGCCGTCCTCAAATAAGGTGAGGGACAGGGTTAAAAAGTCAGGGTGGCTCCAGACCTATTTCTTGTGCAGAGAAAGAAGGCTAAGTCAGCAGAAATAGAAGGGAGGAGTAATGACACAAGACAGGTAAAATGTGGTCCTTGTTATAGTAAGTTCTTTTGTTTTATTCTTCATTATAGACAATTTAGCCATAGTAAATGTTAGGTTTTAAATAGCGATAACACACATTTTTACATCAAATATTGTTTTTCTCCAATATACATCAGTGAACTTTAAATATCTATGATATATTCATTTACGTTATTATGACACTAAATAAAAACAGTAAAACCCTTCATTTGTTGTAAATGTATAGGTCTGTTCTATACCTTACCAGTCACCATGAACAACTCAAAGAGAGATGGTGTGGACAGAAATGGTTCCCGGGCAGGTAATATTTATAGGACATAGGAGGCACATGGTGGATCTATATTAGTGTGAAGATGAGTATTCCATTTTGATAGACTTGTTGCTCCACTTTTTCTTTGGAAGGTGTAGTGCATTTGCAAACAACATTCTCAAACCCCAGAGACTTTGGCACTGTGAATTAGAGTTGTAGAGTAGCAGTGACTAATCACATTTGCAGAAGAAAAATAAATTAAAACCCATGGACAGTCAACACTGTGCTAATACTTCATGCAAAGCAGCCTCTCACTCCAGCCAGGAACCCCTGATGGCTTCTTGTCTTCCTAATGTTATCCTCTGCCAAACCAAGCAAGTCATTGAAAACCAATCTAGCCTTAGTACCTCACTGAAGACCATGTTCATCAGATCAACACATTTCTAATGTAGATATTTGTTACAATAAAAGCCACTACTCACTCATATTCTTTCCCAAATGTAAGCACAAACTCCACAACTTATACTGCAAGGTATTTCTTCTGGTTATTTATCAAGTTTCTTAGTGTCATTTTGGGGTGTCACTGAATTATAATCATGATATTGCATTGACTGTTTTAGGGTCCTCACTAAAGTGATATGAAGCTCTCACTTAACCCCAGTGTTCAGCAAACAGTTTAAAAATACACAGAAGGACCCACATAAAAGTGAATGTGTTAAGGCCACTTGCAGTAGACTAAGGCACGTTTGAATTGTTTATTGACTGCTCTTACATTTGAAGGTAAGCACTTCATGAAAATCTCTACTTGGGTAAGAGATAACAATTGGCTCCTTACCTTTTCCATTAATTACATGGTTTTTCTAAAAGAATATATTATTTAAAGTTTATAAAATACAGAAAATTGGCTATTACACATGAGCATATTTCTATAGAAAGAAATCAAATTTTATCTCCCCTTTAAAAAAAAAGTGTGTTGTATATGGCCAAATTCTGGCATTTTATTACTGATATAAAATTCCTGGGAATATGGTTTCTCACCTTTTACTCTGCAGTCGGAGCAACCTTCATCATGCTAGTGACTAAAACCAAGTGGTTTTTAGGAAGGGCTAGTAATAACTAAGCAGATTTTAGCTCCCAGAACCTGTTGAGTACCTTCGTTTTTGCTTAAATAATCAAACTAATGAATAAGATTCATCTACTGGAGACTCAACTGGTCACTTCACACATACCCAAAACAGGCAAAAAATAGTTTGATGCTAAAAAAGGACTAATCTGCTATTCATTTTGGATATCATTCCTAGAATATTTCTTTACTGCATAGCTAAATTTTATTTGGAATCTTGATGATGGCCAAGCTATCTAGTCAACAGTAATGCTGCAACTGTTTTGTTGTTGTTGTTGTTTTGTTTTTACAGGTATATCTTAGAGATGGCATGGGTTTGATGTTCTACCTGTATCAGTAACAGCTCTTCCATGTCCCCAGTGAAGCTGCTTGTCTTTCATATAAGGCAAATTTCACAAGAGAAAGACATGAATACATTTTCGTTTTCTAGGGCAGATTGAAGTAATGTTTATACACTGTACTACTATTTATTAAGTTTCTTCAAAGCAATGTATACACCTGTATTAAAAATATTTTGTTGCTAAGACCTGGTAACTAACACCCAAGCTTTCAGTGGGTTTGAATCTTTTTGGTGGTGGTGGGGTGAGATTTGCTCAGTGATTGGGCTAATGGTTGCTGAAGCTGAAGAGCTGTTAGTTCCTTCAAAGTACAGTGAAGCCTGTGGTATGGGTTGAAACTTCTCATGAAAGGGTTCTTTGTAGCATGTGATGCTGTTTGATAGCTTTTAATGGACAGTGTGTCTCCCTTAAATTTGTAGTCAGCTCTAATCCTTCTTCTGACTTATCAAATAACTTAAAAGTAACACTTTGCTATCATCTCATCTCTGCCTCCTGCACCTTTCTCCAGGAGTACATTTCAATGACACCACTTTTCATTGCTTACCCATAAGAAGCAATGGTTCATTTGGTAGTGTACTGTGAGGGGTAATTGAGTAACATCTTCATTCTATCTCTAATTCTAGTTCCTTTGTGATTCTACCATATGTAGGTACTTCCTCCACCAAGCCTTAAAACCACCAGAATTTTGCATGAGGGTTGAAATCAACTTCTTCCAGGTGAATATTAATATCAATATCCAGACCTCTTTCCATGAATCATGGATGCTTTTAATGGCTTCTACAATGGTGAGCTCTTTCCAGGATGCATCTAATTTACTTTGTCAAGCCTACAGAAGTCCTCATGTCAGCTATGATCATATAAAAGGCTTTATCAAATATCAAATAGTAAAGCTTGAAGTTGACGTTACTAATAATCTATGTGACACAGAGTGGGCTTGGGACATAATTAAATATAAAAAAATATCTTCATCTCTTTGCACATCTCCATCTGAGCTCTTGGACAATCAATGCACTGTCAATGAGCAATAAATTTTGAAAGAACCCTTGTTTTCCCCTGAGCAGTAGGTCCCAACACTTGGCTTAAAATATCCATTAAACGACATTGAAAATTGAGTTGGTTGTTCTATTTATAAACTATAGACAGAGTGGAATTAGCATACTCTTAAATGTTTTCACTGGTAAATGATTATTGAATATTGGCTTCATCTGAAAGTCACCATTTGTGTCACAGACACTAACAAGAAAGCCAGCATGTCTTTCAAGGCTTTGGAGTTGGGATGGCTTCTTTCCTCTGGCTGTGAAAGTTCTAAAGAGCACGTCTTTCAAGAGTAGGGTCTTTCATTTGTATCTAGACCCAGGTTTACTGCAGCCATAAAGGCGATCCTAACTATGTCTTTGGGAGAACTGGCCAAGGCCTACACATCACTGCCTGCTGCCTCACTTTTCACTGTGATGTTTCAAAAGCAACGCCTCTCCTTAACTTGAGGAACTGATCTCTGCTGCCTTCAAATCCCGCTCTTACAGCCTTTTCGCCCCTGCCAGCCTTTGTAGGATGAAGACAGTCGGAGCCTAACTCTGGATTAAGCTTTATGATTTGAGGGAATGTGGCTACTTGATCTGCTACCCACACCACTAAAGAGTCCTCCTTATAAACAATGGCTCACCTTTCTCTTTTCTTTCTTTTCATGGGCTCAGAGAGAGACGGTTTTAGTTCCCTTGAGGAAGTCTACAGCTTAACTTGTGAACCGGTGTAAGAGGCTAGCCTTTCAACTTGTCTCAGATTTGACCAAGCCTTCCTCACCAAGATGAATTATTTCCAGCTTTGAGTTTAAAACAAGTGATGTATTACTTTCCTTTCAGCTTTAACACTTAGAGGTCACTGTAGGCTTATTAACTGGCCTAATTTCAATACTATTCTCAGAAAAGGGAGGGGGACAGAAGGAGGAAAGTTTTCCATGGGAGCACACACAGAACACACAATATTTATCACTCACTGCCTTACAGGGGCAGGGTTCAAAACAGATCACAAGACTACTGTTAACAGTATCAACTGTTCCCGACCTCAGATTACCACAGCAGACATAACAATAACAACAATGAAAACATTTGCGATTTAGTGAGAATTACCACATATGATACAAAGATGGAAAGTGAGCTCCTACTACTAGGTGAATGATACTGTTTTGTGCAAGGTTACCACAGACCTTCAATTTGTAAATAAAATAAAATAAAAAAGGCAACACCCAGAAAGTGCAAAAGGGTAAAGTGCAGCATGATGAGGTATGCCTGTAGTAAAACCGAAGTTCTCTTCTGGTTACTTCCATGCAGTGCCTCTGTTGGTGCCGGGCACAGAATAGACTCTAAGGCACTTCGTATGTATTTGTGAACAAATGCAATACTGACCAATTCTAGTTCTCCTAAAGCTATGTGGGACACACCTGTTTCCTGGTGGGGATCAGATTATCCTTTGTTCTTTATTCTGGATTTCAACACTGAAAGTTCCTTAAGCTAGTCCTAACGCAACATGCATATCAGCTGGCCTGCAAAGTGCTTTGCTTTAATCTGACTGTCCTTGACTAGGATCAGCAGATCCCTTACTATGTAACTTCCTAGAACCAAGCAGAATTCTCCACCTAGCGTCAGCTCTGAGCAGGGTAGGAACCCTGGTCTCTCTCTGCATGGGAATTCTGCCTGAGATATAGTATCTGTCCTTAATCAGTAGACAATCTTTTTTTGTTTTTTTCATGTTTCTAAATTAAGGCATTTCATTCTGGGTAAAATTGCTAATTGGAACATATTCTGTTGTGGGAGGAGGAATGTTTCCTTGAGTTTCCAGGATAGGGAGGGGGTGGGGAGCGCTGGGCTGAAGCTTGTGGCGTCGGAGAGTAAGGTGGAGGCAAGTCTGCACAATATTCCATCTCGTGGTCGTAAGGATAGGGGGGCGGCGCCGCTGAAAAGAAGAGGGGAAAGAGATCAGGCATTTAGCAAATACATCAGCCACTGTTTTAAACCACTGTGCTAGCTACTTTGAGAAGGGAGGTACTTTCTTCTTCCGAAACTATTAACATTTGTTTAGAACGTGGACGGGTATGGCTGAACAGGTGTGATCTCTGTGAGGTGGTGCCCTGGGTGAGGGCATTTGGAGTTGGGGTTTATGAAGAGCCCCTCGGGAATAGGACACTGAAGGAGCAGAGGGTAGGTAATTCAAGCTTGGCTGAAAGCTCAGTAGCAGGAGTGTACTGTATCACAGCAGCAAACGGGGAGACTTGCAAAGAAAGAAGGCCGAGAAGCAGGTTCACCACCATCACGCTGGTCTTGATGCCTTGGGTAGAGTAAGTGATGTGGCATCCTTAGGAAAGATATAGTAAACTTTATGTCTTTAAAATTATTCCTTTTACATATATTAACTGAATGAATACAATACTATTTATAAAGGGCAGTTTTCATACAAAGACACATGGTCCACTGAACATGTCCACATGTCCTTCCCACGGGCTCCAACCTCCCCTTTCTCCCACCTGCTGTCATTCTCCTTGTTTGGTCTCTGTTTCCATGGCACATGTGATGCTAGGTTTCTAGCTAAAATCTAGGATCCACAAGTGGGAGCCACAATGTCTTTCTGAGACTGGCTGAAATTCCCTTACTATGATGTTCCCCTGTTACACCATTTCCTCTCAAACAACCTGATCTCGTTTTCCTTTGTGATTCGATGCAACTCTGTTGCCTGTGGACCACATTCTGTCCACCTCTGTGTTGCTGGATTCTGGCTGGTCCCGTAGATACTGGTGTCTAAGTATCTTCATGGCCCTTAGAAACATAGATTAGTGAGGCTATTCTCTCAGCAGAGGATAGAGCGACAGACTGCAGAAATGCGAGGTGGTGGACCAGTACAGAGGAGGAATTAGAAGGCATTCATAACAGCCAGGGGGAAATAGTCGTAACACACCAAGCTGCTGAGTGTAGGCAACTGGGAATGTAGGAAGGAATAGGAGGATGAAAGGGTGGATGAACGTATTGGCCAGCTACATGAGGGCTCCTGGAACCTGCAAGATAAACAAGTTTAGGGATGGAGATGAAGTGTTTCATTTTCGAAATCTCCTTTAAAAATCTGTCTTAATTTTATTTACTGTGATGTAAGTCAGTGGGTTTAATAACCACATAAGCTGTACTTGATAGTAGCTTCTCCTGGATCCCTAATCTGTAGTGGTCATGTCTTCAGGGAAGGGAGGGGGAGAGGGGACCTGGGAGCTGAAAATCATCCATGTCTTCATGATGATAAGCCAAAAATACAATCATCCTCAGGACCCAGATCCGACTTGGGAAGTGACAGGCCTTAGCAGGTCACTACGAATGCGTATGGATCTCTAGACTGATGTCACAGTAATGTGACTAAATCACCAAGCTTTTGGCATTGCAGTGACAGCAGCCTGTTCTTCCCCCAAGGACCTAACAGTGTTCTGATAAATAGGCACACAGGAGGCCTCAGCCACTAAGAGGCGCACACGCACACAGGAGGCTTCAATTACTACATAGAAACAATGCTTATCCCAGATCCCTCTGGTGTGTCTGTCTTTACAAAGATCCTTATATTTGGAGTTGTTTGCTGACCTCCGGATAGAAAGGGAGAGTGAGAAAGGAGAATTAAGGAACCCAAGAAAAGAGGAATACGAATCCTCCTACATGAGCAGCATGTCCCCTGAGAGGCCTGCTCCCTAGTGCACAGGGGAGACAAGTATCTTTCATTGGTCAGGGAACTTGGCTAAGTGAAGACATTGGCAGATACTCAAAGCTTCCTTAGCCTTCCTTCATACCTGCCTGATTGTAAGCTCTGTCTGCTACAACAGAACGGAGGAATTCCTGTGACATGCATACACATTCCCTCTGGATTCTGTGCCCATTTCCTGGCTCTTTAAAAATAAGAGGGCAGATACAAAGGTTCACAGAATGTCTCATGCATACCAAGAAAGGAGGCCCTCCAGGAGCTGGTAGGTCCCATTGGGCTCCCTGTCACGCTGGTTCTTGTGGACATATGGCTCCCCCTTGTTACCATGCTCAAGTTTCTCTGCCCCTGGCATGGGGAACACGGATTGACTTGGTCCACGGACTGCCTCCACCTCCTTGTGTCATGACCCCATACTGTGTGTTTGTGCATCTGTGAAAGGCTATGTGTGTTCTGCTCTGCCACGGCATACCACACTACTCGAGGACACTTTGGTGAGAGTCCTCACGGTTCATGCTGCCGTGTGTCAAACATGACAATCTCTGCTGTGAAACGGTGTTCTTTCAGTCACAGAACCTTTGAACTCTGGTGAAATGGAAATGATGCTGGAGAGTGGTGGTGGGAGACCTGTTATTCCTGAAAGTGGTGCATCTTTTCTAATATAGTCTCTGGACGACATTTATGACATAGTGGAAAGGGACTGTATTACCTTTCTTTGTGAGAGTAAGGTCTCATAAGAGAGCAAATATCCAAGGTATCAGTTTTGGGATTCCTAATTAATCCTAAGGGGCTTGGCTCTTTTCAGTTGGACATATGATTTCTGGAAGATGAGGATATGCCTTTCTATGGATGGGACCTCTGAAACTCTCGCATATCTGGAATTCCAAATCTCTGATGCAAGTATTATAAATATGCTATTCATCTTTAATGTCAAATACAGGTGTCTATAATATTTTTTTAAAAAAATTGTTGGGTGTAATGGTGAACTCTGTAATCTCAGCATTTGGGAGGCCAAGGGAGGAGGATCCTGATTTTGAGGCCAGCCTGGGATATAAACTGAGTTCCAGGTCAGCTTGGTATATACAGCTAAACTCTGTCTCAGAACTGACTGACTAAATGAATAAACAGATAAACAAACAGAGACTGAGGAAACATATGAATTTCAGAGAAGAAATGCAATGCTTTCAATACACTCAAGTGTAATATTCAAAAGGTAAAGAAAATATGGATGCAAAAAAAAAAAATCCCAAATTTTGTCATCTCAGTATGTCATCTCAGTGACATCTTAGTGAGGTGTCACACCAATATCTCCAGTGCGTTTATACCTTCACAGTCACAGGGAATGGTACTATCTTTGCCACTTTGTATAATAGCACAGCTTATATTGCTGTATATTCTCCCCAGGATGTTACTATTTCTGGGTGTATACTATTCCACTTCACATTTATCTACTACTCAGAGTCAATGTCTTTGTTATTATGAATGACTGACAAGCATCTTCTCACAGGGGACTTTTATTGCTCTGGGTGATGCCTTTGAATGAAATTCTAGAAGTCTGGATTAAGCAGTACTTAAGTGTTATTATTTGCAGATGCTTGCCGCGGTGAACTGTGAAATCCTCTGCAGACACTGACCTGGCACAGGCAGGCTGTCATTTGGTATTAGAAAAATCGTAAGTGAGAAAACATAGCTATTTCATCCCATCATTTCTCCTATCAAGGCTGGAATTTATGACATCTCTACTCTGTTTTGGTGCTTGAAATTTTGTATTTTGTCTTTCTGAAAATTGAAACTTTGAATATAACTATAAGATTTTTAAATTTTTATTTTTATTTATGTGTGTGTGCATAGATGGGGCGTGAAACGACAAGGTATCACAGAGGCACTGGATTCCTGGGGAGCTTCTTGACATGTGTGCTGGGATTCAGTTTGTCCCTGTTTTCTCAGTGAAATAAGAACCCAGTCTTTGCTGAGAGAAAAGCAGGATAAGGATATGCTTGAGGTGAAAGAGAATGAGGAGAGCAAGAAACCCATCTCTTGAAGTGGGAGGCATGATGTGCCTAGCATAAAACATGCTTTCTAAGCATCACCAGTGGCCAACACATCTAAGAAAAGGCCACTGTTTTAAAGTGAGACCAGTCTGCATGGTTTCTTGTCTAGTCGCATTAAGCTCCTACATACAGAGACAGGGTAGTTTAAATGTTGGACTTAATAAGAGCCTGGGTACTGCCAGGCGGTCATGTTGCTAGAGTTGTTCCATTCAGAGCCTGTGCCCTGGCAGCCCTAACAAGCTATGTTCAGCCATCAGCCCTCAATGGGCCAATTAACAGGCAATAATGAGAAGCAAAACAAGGGTGTCCATTCATTGTGACCACACTGGGAAGAGGAACAAGTGAAGGGAGCCAAGGATCTCTCCCACTCACCATCAGTCCATCTTTGGGCTGAGATTAAATAAGAGAGCAAGAAGCATACACAGCTTAGCAGTCCTGGCCAAGGTGGTGCCCCACCCATCACTGACCCATTCTTGTCTTGGATCTACTCTTTCCTACAAGGTGTCATAACAACTTGTCAAAATTGTATGAAATCTCTTTCCAGGAGACAAGTTCCTCCTCTGTTTGAGATCAGGCTGAAGCCTTGTGTTCTCAGGTAGAGATTCCTGGCAGAAATGTTAATTTCTAGGGATCCATGCCTTGACACCCTGATACCATGAAAGACTCACATGTGTCTCTCTTTAGTCATCCCTCCCATCATGGTTACTCTGCAGACAGAATGATTTAAGAGCATGGACAACAGGTGCAAAGAAATCATTTGGGTAATGGTGCACAAATATGAGCTGATAAAGGACAGGCAGAAGGAAGAGAGGTGACATCATTTTAAATTGCTTTCTTTAATTTGCCCTCGTTATGGTGGAAGTCAACATAAGGTTCAAGCTTAGGGGAATGAGTATTCCAGAAAAAAATAAAAGGCAGGAATCATATTTTAAAATAAGGATTTATAAAATATTACTATAATCGCTAATGACAAAGGGGGAGAAATTGTCACATGGATGTTTTAGTGGACAGAAATGGTTGCAGATGTTGGGGTGGATTGATAACTATGGACTTCATGCTAAGTCCCAGTGAACACATATTTGGGACAGGACCAGTTACAGATACTATAAGATATAGAAATAGAGAGAGGAAGAAAGTATTAGAATTCCATGACGTGTGTAATGCAAAAGAGCTCAGAAA